GTGCGTGTGTGTGTGCATGTGTGTGCGTGTGTGTGTGTGTGCGTGTGTGTGCGTGTGTGTGTGTGTGTGTGTGTGTGTGTATGTGTGTGTGTGCGTGTGTGTGTGGGTGGGTGTGTGGGTAAATAAAATAAGTGCTCATGTGTTTATGCATTTAAATATTTAATAAAAACACGCAAGAAGACTTGCCTTACCAGTAATAAAATTTGCATCGCAAAATGTAAGCCAATTCCAAATTCATAGTATGGTGCGCAAAAACTTTTCTCAATTTTACATTTGTTTACATCTTTTCGTCACCCAATATGGCGCATGTAAACTTATGCGGACGTTCGGCGCTCATATTAACATCATGTCCATGTAGGATACTTAATTTAGATAAAGGTCTCCCTGTCAATAATGATTACCTTGACTTTGAAAAAGCATTCGACAAAGTCCCACATGAGTATCTTCTTTTGAAACTAAAAGCCTATGAAATTAATAGTCCGATTTTCAATTGGATAAAAAACTTTCTCACAAAAAAAAAAGACAAAGAGTAATGTTAAATGGTAATTACTCTGATTGGGTAACAGTAAAAAATGGAGTTCTCCAAGGTTTTGTTCTCTCAACTCTAATATTCATTATATACGTTAATGATGCTCCCCATATAAATAATTCAAACGCAGCACATTTTTCAGACAATACAAAAATATTTTACCATCTTACTAATCTGCTTTCACACACCGTACTTCAAAATAATATTGATATCTTGGTTGACGGCAACTAAATAGGGGATAAAATTTAATATAGAAAAATTTTCAGTTCTACACCTAGGATACAAAAACAAGCATCATGTCTATTCTATGTAAGATCTAGTGAAGAAAACAAGGGTTGACATCAAATCTACCAACTCAGAAACTGACCTCGGTCTACATATCGATAAAAAATTACTATTCTCTAAACATTCACAAGTTAATAAAGCAATGTTATTTCTAATAAAAAAAATCCTTCTTTTATCTAAACTTATTTTGTTTTAAAAGACTATTTTCAGTACTAATTCAACCATATTTAAAGTATTGTGGATCTGTATATAACCCTCATCTACTTAAAGAGAAACGTCAAGTGGAAAGTATACTAAGAAGAGGATTTAAACTAGTTAATAAATCACAAAGCCTTACATATCACAAAAGACTATTAAAAATTAATACGACAACTATAAGATATAGACTGATCCGGGGAGATTAAATAAACGTCTATAAATGGCTAAACAATTGCTACAACTGTCAAACGATCTTTACAAAAACTATTATAAATTCTATTACAAGAGGACATTCATTTAAACTAGAAAAGAATCTCCAGTTTTTCAGTATTGTTATTTTTTCTGAAGATTTTACGAAATAGTATAAATATACGAATATAAAATCAGCGTTTTAACAATTGCCCTTGTTGAGTTATTCTGAAAGCAATATCGCGGCAAAAGTAAAATACCCTAAAATAACATGTATTTGAAATAATTTGAAGTATTAATAAGCATGTATTCAAAGTTTATGTTTGTTGTTCTACTGTGAAAACAAATAAAGATTTATGTGAGTACATAGTCTGCATTAGATTATTTAAATGTTTATACCAGAGGTCGGCAACCTGCTGCTCGTGAGCCAAATTTGATGTCAAAATTTCGATATTAAAATGCGGCTCTCCAGCTACATGCATGTAGCAATCACTTTTACTTCGATTCACTTTTTGTTCAGAGAAAGCCTTTGTAATTTTAAATGGTTATATATGAGGTAGATTAGGGTAATATGAGCACCTTAAGCGAAAATTGGAATATTTTCAAAAATAATTTTTCTGGATCCAAAATTTTTGCAAATAAACAATTTAGGGATCCCTACTTAGTTATTTGGGCATCCGAAATTTTTTCTTATAAACACAGAGGTTTTAAAAAAGTAGCAAAAGTGCTCATATTACCCAGACCACTTGGTAATATGAGCATTTTAAATTAGCTCAAAAAAATAACATTAATTAAGTAAAAAAATAATAACCTGACAATTAGAACTAATTTTTGGAATATAATAATTCGTTATTAACAAAACTTATCATTAAAAATAATCTATATTTTACTTTAGAAGTCTTATTATAGTACAGCTATTTTTAACTTGCTATATAAAATGATTATTTATTTTTTTGTTGAAAAAACTTGTAAAGCTAATCTTTTAAATTTCTTTACTTTATTTATTTAATTTAGCAAATTTTATTTTATTATTGTTATTTCAACTTGCTTTATATAGTGAATATAAATTATTATATTTTATATATTATGGATACTTTGTAAAAAATATATCACGCAAATTGTAGGGGCTTGACGACAAGACTTATGTCTTCTACTTGCTCCTGTCATTCTTTATATTTTGATTTATTTTATTAAACTTGGAAACGAGAACATTGTAAAATGCTTATATATGACGAAATAAATAAAATAAATAAACAAAAAGATAAAAAATGAAATTTTAAGCCACTTTTTGTTAAAACATTAGGCCGGGTAGGGAGGCTGAATAAGCGCGATTTGGCATAAGTACGAACTGGCATAAGTTCGAAGCGTTGCAAAAACTGGAATAAGTGCAAAGTGGCATATGTGCGAATTGACATAAGTGCGCCAAAAAAATTTGCAAACATTGGCATAAGTGCGAATTGGTATAAGTGCGAACTGGCATAAATGCAAAGCAGTGACACAAGTGCGAACTGACATAAGTGCGAATAGGCAAAAGTGCGCCGAACAAATTTGCAAACATCGGCATAAGTGCAAATTTGAACTGGCATAAGTACAAAGTAGTTACAGAAACTGACAAAAGTGCGAACTGGCATAAGAGCGAATTGACATAAGTGCGCCGAATAAATTTACAAACATTGGCATAAGTGCGAATTGGCATAAGTGCGCCAAAAGAATATGCAAACATTGGCATAAGTGCGAATTGGCATAAGTGCGAACTAGCATAAGTTCGAAGCAGTGGCATAAGTGCGAACTGGCATAAGTGCACCGAATAAATTTGCAAACAGTGGCATAAGTGCAAACTGGCATATGCGCAAATTGGCATTAGAGCGAAATCAAAATTTGCACTTATGCTAATATTTGCAATTTTATTCGGCGCACTTATGCCAACTCGCACTTATTCCAGTTTGCACTAATGCCAGTTTTTGTAACTGCTTCGCACTTAAGCTAATCCGCACTTATGCTAATTCGCACTTATGCCAATGTTTGTAAATTTATTCGGCGTACTTATGCCAATTTGTACTTATGCCAGTTTCTGTAACTGCTTTGCACTTATGCCAGTTTGGACTTATGCCAATTCGCACTTATGCCAATGTTTGCAAGTTTGCTCGGCGCACTTGCGCCAATTCGTACTTATGTCAGTTTGCATATGTGCTAATTTTTAAAAAAGCTTTGCATATATGCCAGTTCGGGCTTATGAAAATTCGCACTTATGCCAGTGTTTGGAAATTCTTTTGGCGCACTTATGCCAATTCGCACTTATGCCAGTTCGCACTAGTGCCAGTTTTTGTAACTGCTTCGCACCTATGCCAGTTTGCACTTATGCCAATTTGCATATATGCCAGCTCGCTCTTATGACATTCGCCAGTTTTTTCTCTTATGACTTATGCCAGTTCACACTTATGAAATTCGCGTTTATTCAGTTATCCCGGCCGGGTGAATAAAAATGAGCAATTGCTTTTATTTAAATAAATATAATAGGTTAGCGGGCAGCTCTGAATGTTTCTCTAAGTTTTTATCATAACTTTAAATTTGACCGGCTTTTCTAATAGTACAAACGCAGATATATATATATATATATTTTTTTTTTCCGCGATAAAATATATACATATATATATAAATATATATATATATATATATATATATATATATATATATATATATATATATATATATATATATATATATATATATATATATATATATATATATATATATATATATATATATATATATATATATATATATATATATATATATATATTCCATTAAAACATTTGCAACCAACATCGAACAATGCTAAAAAGTGTTCCTAATTTTACATGTCTTAAAAACGAAACAAACTATACAACTACAGCAAACAGTTCAGGGGTCTAGAGTCATAGCATGCCACGGAAGTTTTTTTAATAAATAAAGGAAATATCCAGAAGTTTCCAGAAGCATGCAGAAGCTTCCAGAAGTTTCCAGAAGAAGCATCTGGAAGAATCCAGAAGCATCCAGAAGTATCCAGAAACATTCAGAAGCATCCAAGTACAAAAATGGCTCACGACAGTCTTGGATTGGAACTAAGAAAGAAAATTAATGACAATTACGTAAGTGGAATGTCACAAAAAAGTATTTGTGATAAATATCGCGTGAAAAAATGGACCGCTTCTGTTAAAGCCGGATTGTTTTCTCGACGCCCTGCAAAGAAACCGCTGATTTCACTAAATAACCAGAAGAAAAGACTCCTGTTTGCTACATCTCATATTAACTGGAATGTGCAGAACTAGCGAACTGTCATGTTTAGTGATGAATCGAAGTTCAACATCATTTGGAGCGATGGCATTTGCCGTGTTTGTCGACCGGCCGGAAAATGCCTTGATTTACGTTACTGCCATAAAACCATGAAGCATAATGGAGGCAATGTAATGGTCTGGGGGTGTTTTTCTGCTAACGGTCTAGATCCAATACATCGAATCGCTGGAGTAATGGACCGTTTCATGTATAAAAATATCCTGAAAGATGTTAAGTTACCACATGCTAAATGGAATATGTCAATAAAATGGGTTTTTCAGCAAGACAACGATCCGAAACACACTGCAAAAGTAGTCAAGCAGTGGTTTTAAGACAACCACCTATCGGTGATGGATTGGCCGCCTCAATCTCCGGATCTCAACCCTATCGAGAACCTGTGGAAGATCGTCAACCGCAGAATTAATCGTGAAGGTGTTCGTAATTAGGATCGTGAAGGTGTTCGTAATTAGGATAAATAGGGCCGTCCCGAAGAGACTCTGAAGGGAGGGGGAGGGGGCGCCGTGTGTTGACAATTTGCGGACATTGAGTCAGCACCTAACTTTATGGAAACCTGCACATGCCACCTAGGTAAGGAGACAAAATCATAAGCATAAAGTATCAAATAACATTCTCTTTTGTTTTTACCTACAACTAAATTGTATAGAGCAGAGGCACACTTTGCAATATTGTTTTTTTCGATTTTATAGTAAATTTATAATCTTTTATAATAACATTTTTGGGTCATGGTTACAATATCAGTTTTTGCTATGTCTTATAACATCTGTCCAACAACATCTGTTAATATAATGAGGTATAATAACTTCTGTCCAACAACATCTGAAATTTCATTGGTGTCTAATAACATCTGTGCAAAAGTTAAATGAATATTACAGATGTAGTTACATCTTTTAAGTTATCAAAGTGTAATAACATCTGTGCAACTTGATCTTTGGATTTTACAGATGTAGTTGCATCTTTAAATTATCAAAGTGTAAAAACATCTGTGCAACTTCATCTTTGGATTTTACAGATGTAGTTGCATCTTTAAATTATCAAAGTGTAATAACATCTGTGCTGCACAGATGTTATTACACTTTGATAATTTAAAGATGCAACTACATCTGTAAAATCAAAAGATGAAGTTGCACAGTGTGCAACTTCATTTTTTGATTTTAAGATAAAGTTATTTTTAAGATGAATTAACTAATAGTGCATTATTTTAACCAGATGTAGTTACATATATGACTTTTTTAGATGCAATTAAATCAAATCTGGAAAAAAGTATTTACAAATAATGCATTATTTTAACCAGATGTTATTACATATAGAAATTTTTTCAGATGTAATTACATTTGGAAAAAAATTATTAACTAAAAATGCATGATTTTAAATATATAGAAATTTTTCAGATGTAATTACATTTGTAAAAAAAAATATTAACTAAAAATGCATGATTTTAAATATATAGAAATTTTTTCATATGTAATTACATCTGGAGAAAATTCTTCCAGATGTTATTGAACTTGAAGAAAAATTAGCAGATGTAGTTACATCTCAATGTAGTTACAAATCAATTGACATATTATATACTGATATATACATGGTCAAAAGCTTTTGCTTTTGACCATATATATAAACCGTGTTTGTATACAAATGTACATAAACCCTGTTTCATATAGACATCTGTTAATAAAGTTATTCTCTTATCAAATCTAACTTATTAAGTTGGATTAAATTGTTTCTATCTGAAAGACAACAAAGAGTAGTCCTGGGTGACATAACTTGATAACAAAATGTTGTGGGTGGAGTAGTTCAAGGATCGGTGTTAGGTCCATAATTATTTTTGATTTTTTATAAACGATTTACCAGAATAAGCAATTATTACCTCAAATTTGTATGCCAATAATAACAAACTTATTGCACCGGTTAATTCATTAATAGATCGTGATGTTATGCAAAAAGATATTGATAAGTTAGTTAAATGGGCATACAAATGGGACATGGATTTCAAAATGTAAGATAATGTACTTTGGTATACACCAACTTTGATTATTACATGACTGATAATGATATTAAGATCAAAATATTAACAACAAACATTGAAAGAGATTTAGGAGTTTTGATATCAGATAATTTAAAGTGGACAATCCAAGTCAGAGCAGCAGCTTCAAGAGCAAATAGTAAATTAGGTATTATTGCCAAAGCGTTTAATTATAAAACTTTTGACTCTTTCAAGAAGCTATGTTATGCGTATGTGAGACCACATTTAGAATTTGCTGTTCAGGTATGGAATTCGTTTTTATAATGACAAATTGAATGACATTGAAATACTTAAAAATGTGCAAAGACGTGCAACTAAGATAATACCTGAAATTAAACACCTTTCATACAAAGGATAATCAAACTGAATTTAGCAACACTAACCAAATGAAGAAAACGTGGTGATTTAATTCAATTCTATAAATATTTCCATTATATTGAAGATATCTCATGTCACAATCCGCCTAAATTTTGTGAATCATTATTGTTGTCTGGACCACCTGTGAATACAAGATGTAATCAATTTGAACACAGTTTATGCACTCAACAGGTCAAAAGTCAAATTCGAAAACATTTTTTCACAAACCGAATTGTAAAGACATGGAATATTTTACCACAGTCAACCATTGAAGCATTAACGGTGAACAATTTCAAGAGCAAAATAGATAAATTATCTAGTATTATGTCGACTACTAACTAAACATCTAGAAACAACATAAATAACTATTATTTATTGTTTTCATTGTTAATTATAAAATTATTATTGTTAAAGGCTATCACAGGTTTAGCATGGCGTTAAGTCTCAACAGCAATAATAATAGTTATTATTATTATCTTTCTAAAGATGTTGTTAGGGTTTGTTGAATTTTCAGATGGTGTTGTATTGATATTATTAGAGTAAAAGAAAAATATAGATGATCTAAGACAAAAGTGTACAGATGGTCTTAGACTATACCACAGATGTTGTTAAACAGATGTGGGGCTGTCCATTAATTAGGTCAGCAATTTTCTGGCTATTTCTACCTCCCCTCCCTCCTTGTCAACAAGTTGTCAAACTTCCAGAGACCAATATAAACGTTTAAATAATATAGTGTAAACAAAGTAATTACATAAATTTTTTTTGTTTGCATAACAGACTAACCAACAACAACTTTGAAAAAATAATATTGTTATGAGTAAACATCTTGTGTGTGCTTAACTTCTGTATGTTTCAGGTCTATTTAAAGCACAACACTGTTTTTAAAAGTAGGAATATAAATAGCTTTATTAAAATACTGAAGGTTTAGTATGTAACACAGGACTGCAAACACTGCCTAATTATCCTTTTTTGAAGTAACCAAATTTATTAAAAACAGTAAAATTGTTGATGTCAACTTGTCTTGACCTCCTTCCCTCCCCCCTGTCAACAAATGTCAAAAAAATTCAGGCCATCCTTCCCCCTACTTTGTTGACATAATTTATTGACAGCCCCTGTAGTAATCTTTTACCAAATTTTTGTCTTTACCAAAATGATTGTTGACAATAATTATAAACAGTTTAGTTTCTAACACCTTTATTTGCCTAAGTTAGATTGATAAAAAGAATTAATAAATGAACTAATTGATTATTTTTGCTAATGTTAAAATTCATAGAATTATTTTTAAATTGATAACTTAAAAGGAAATTAAAAAAAAGAACATGGTAACAATTATTTTCAATAGTATTGTAACAACAATAATAAAGAGATGTATAAGGTAATTAGTTTATTTATTTGTATAGAATTGTAATTTTTTTATAATGATATTTATTCTTTAAGATAAAATGAAAGATGGTAATTGTACTAGTGACGAAGAAGATGATTTTGTTTTTTTGTCAAAAGAGGTATGCTACCTGTTCTATAAGAATTTTTTTTTTGACATATTTATATACTGTTAACATTTTTGTATAGAGCTTAAAAAACTTAAAAAATGAGGAGTAATTTAGATTTAAAAGTTAAGTGGATCCAAAAGTTATTGAATTTTTTTGTACTGGAAAAATGATAATATTTTAATAAAATTCATAGTACTTTTGCAGTGAAAGTTGGATATGTTATGGCACCAAATAAGAAAGTATATTTAGGTCATATTGACTTTTGAATATGTTTTGAACCACTATTATATTTGGCTTGAAATTTTCATTAGTAATCAAAAAACTATAGAAAAATTAAATGCTATAATTTGGATATAAATACTTATTTGCATAGAGTAATCATGGATTCCAATTTATACCTTACCATATGCATAAAGTATACCATAGATTCCATTATATTTTTGAGATAATTGCATAATTTATAGATTTTTTTATTTAGATTTTTTTCTATAATAAACTAACTTCAAAGTTTAAAAATGCTTATAACAAAACAATTATGTATAAATATTAATGAAGCCAACATTCCATTAAATTTTTCATTCTTATAATCTGTATGGAAAGTTTCTTACAAATTAGATCTTTGCTTCCAGTAAAGAATCCTAACCCTCAATCAATCAATCAATATATTTCTGGACTAGTTATTACACTTCATGGGTATTTTACAAATAGTACATGCACTAATCTTAAATAAAAACCTTGCTGGAGTTAATAACAATAACATTATAAATAACAGTCGAAACAGATTTAATAATAAGCGCGGAAGAAGCAACATTAACAATAATAACAAAAATATCAATAATATAATTTATTGTGTGTATTATTAGATATCTAATAATACACACACTCACACTCTCACACTCGTGTATAGGTCTTGATTAAAAAAATTTTTATTCTGAAATTTCATTTTTTTGTTTCTCCTTGCCAGGTATAGTAAAAGTTTTAATTGTAATAATAAATGTTTTTTTAGCAATAAAAAAACCCAGAAAAACAACTTGCAAAAAAAAAAAAAACCTAACGTCTATTTTTAAATAATTTTTTATATATAATTTTTAATTAATAATTTAGTAATTAATTAAATAATAAAATAAAAAACAATATTCAAAAGTTAAAATATAATCAATCTTTCTAAGAAAACAACAATATATAAAAAACTGTTATACATCAAATAGTTGTTTTATAAAAACGAATGATCTTAATTATTTTTTATAAAAGTTCATTTATTTCTCTTCTTCTTTGTGAATGCAAATGTCATTGTATATAAAAATTTATACAATATACAATTCTGCAATTATTAACAAGTAGGAGAGTGATAAATCATTTAAAAAGTCTTTGGTAATTAAACTTATAGTTGGATACTTGTAAAATTGAGAAAATAGTATTTTGAAGTTACTTAGCAGTTTTTATCTTTTGCTCAGAGTTATTAGTGTGCGCTCTACATAGTGAGATTTTGATATTTTTTTTTGTTTGCTTTTGTTTCTCGATTTTTATTCAGACTTTATTCTTTTATTATCCAGTTTTATCAGTTGTATAATCGGATTTTTTTTGAGTTTATTCCAGATATAATCAAACCAATAATTTACAAGCAACGCAAAAAATGGCCGAAAAACAACTTTTGCAACCATCATGTTTCTTTATTCAAGCATCTTGATGTTTGCATAGAAAATTTTGCAATGGACGTAGCAATTTGCAAGATATATTTGAGTATATTGTCTTATTAAAATAATAGAGTTTAATTAAATATAACAATTTTAATAATTAAATATATTTTAATAATTGAATATAACATTTTTATTTGCGCTTCTTTAGTTAATTTATTTTTCTTGTGCTTTGTAAATTAAATTATATTTTAAAAATTTTACCGTGATAACTCTAAGCTATAAAGATATAGTGACAATTATATTGAAATCTTTTTTTAAATAAACCATGAACCAAAGAGTTCTATTCTTTTACAATTGTTTTTCAACTGTTTAGACTAAAATTTTAATTATTACTATCGTTTCCGTTCAATTTACTATCATTCTCTTTATGAACTCCTAATTGGTTTTTTATTCTTTTTGGAAATTAGGAGAAGATATATGTTTTGTTGATGTGATATGTATGTTAAAATTTGATGTAATCTATTTTTTAATTTCTAAAAGACTTAATACAAATAGATTTTTTAAGATTCTGGTATATATACTTATTAAATATATTCTTATATAATATAGGAGTGTATAAAAAAAAGCGTTATATAAATTAAAAAAAGCAAATCTTTTTCACATTTTTTTATGAATAGAGCCAATAGAAGGGTATTAAATGCAATATTATTTTATATATCAGATTTATTGCTGTAAAATATATTTAAATGTATTAAATATAGCATAAATATGAAGAAATAAAATATGAAGAAATAGTATTATTTTTATCATAAAAAAGAAATATATATAGTTTTAAATTATTTATGAATATTCATTATAAATAAATTAGCCCAAAATATCTTCATAATATTTCAAATCAAACGCAGTTTCTTTGCTTTCACTCATATCACTAATATTAGCATATTAGCATATTAAAAAAATAATAATTCACAATATTAGCATATTAAAAAAACTGCCGTCTTTTTCAAAATAAATTATTAAATTAACGCGGAAGAATACAGGGAAATATGCACTACTTTAAACAACTTTAAAGTACGACAAACTAGTTTATCAATCAATTAAGCGAAATGTGTGATTATACAAAAAAGAAATTGTCTTAATTAACATACAGTTCTTACTGTTATAAGTTTAAAATTTTCCAAAGAATACTGAAAACCCAGACTATTATGTTAAATTCTTTTGCAACACATGCCTATTTTGCTTGCATTTTAACAAACTAATTATAATTAGTATGGCCAACAAGGCCACACACACAGGTCAACAAAAAATCACGCCAACAAAAAAAAATTTTTTTTCTGGTGCCAAGCAAATAATTATGTCAACCTGGGTCTCAAAAGAAGCGTAGTTTCATATAGATTTTAAAAATGTTATTTGTTTGTAATAAAATAAGTACTTTTTGTATTATTGCTGTAAAACATTTTGTTAATATTTTTTTAAGAGTCTTTAGCATTTTTCAGATAATTTTGTCAATGAGTTTTAAGAAAAATTATTTATGTTTTCCAAAATCTCAATGAAAATACGCTTCTTTTGAGACCTAGGTTGACATACTTTTGAATAACTTTTTTTTCAACAATATTAGGGTTTTTTTTTTTTATTTTTATTTTTATTTTACTTCACCTCCTCAAGGCCGAGAAGGCCACTACAGACGAGGAGGCTACTTATTTTGTAGCTATAACCCTCTCTCAACTCTATAACTCCGAAACACGAACCTTGACGAACAAGGCCGCTGCGCGGAGAAACAAGTTGAGCGCGGTACTACCAGGGACGTGGGAGTTTGTGTTTTACCCCAACTAATAAAGTTGGTGTTTTACCCCAACTAATAAAGATTTGAACCCAAATATCTTTACAACTTGACATGATGGTGAAAAATTAGTTGCATATTTGAAATCAAAATGAGAAATACTATTAAAAAAACTAATTGTTTGCTTGGCACCATAAATTTTTTTTTTTGTTGGCCTGTGTTATTTGTCTTTTAGCATAACACAAAATAATACAGAACATTTATAGCTGTTTGAAATAACTTGTTCGATTTTTTATTTTTTATTTTTACATCAAATAATTTAAACTTCTTTATATATATATATATATATATATATATATATATATATATATATATATATATATATATATATATATATATATATATATATATATATATATATATATATATATATATACATATATATATATATATATATATATATATATATATATATATATATATATATATATATATATATATATATATATATATATATATATATATATATATATATATATATATATATATATATATATATATATATATATATATATATATATATATATATATATATATGTATGTATGTATAACTTCTGCTAAGAAAAGTACAAGGAAGTCATCTGTGATATTTGGTCTTGGCAACAAGATCATGGCAGAAGATGCAGAAATAACTGGAGCGCGTCTTCCAACATGTCAGCAAGTATTGTGATGTATCAGGTATCATCTTAATGATGGTGGTACCTGTGAAAACCTTACTGGGTAAGATTCCGCTAAGCTGGTGCTGGCAAAAATCACAGTTTTCTATAAGAAAGCAAACATTCTCATGATCAGTGATTGTAAAGCATGTGAGAAGATGTCAAAGCTGCTTGATGACAATGACAAAATTAGAGCAATACCGTCTGCAGGTCAACACCAGCTTCAATAAAAAAGGTCCTGCAGATGGAGGATATCTTAGTGAAGACATTTCAACTGTAGCCGTAGAATGCTGAACAACTGATAAAAAATCCGGAAGACTTATCATTTTTACATTCAATGAAAACCGATTGAGTGGCAAGTTTTGGTTCTCTTGACAAAGTGTTAACTTCAAAACTTCAGCGTCATCAGAAGCGCTTAGAGGTAAAGGCGTTTGTGGTGTCAGAAACTAAAGCAACAGAGAAATATTACTAAGGTTGCATATAATGCAGAGGTTGAAGAGCTAATTAACAGTGACCGCCCTGGCGAAGCTGAGAATGGCTGAATACGAACTTCCTTTGAATGATGTTTTACCAGTTAAGACTGCTAGCAGATGTTATTGTATCAATAGTCAACCCGGAACTCTTGCTTTCATCTCTCGTGAAATAATAAAAAGACCCAAACTTGTCGTTTTAGCAACTCGTCTAAAGATGATACTAACACAGCAAGCAGTCTATACTGAAACCCTTATATCCGAGGCTGAAGGCAACATGTCAAAAATCTGTACATCATTCAGCTGCTGACAAATCCAGGTGTAAGGTTGGATAAAAGATAGCTTCAACTTGCAAGGAGCAATGGGTTGCTCCAAAGCTGTCAACTCTGCATTGAGATTCGAAACAATTGCCATCACTGACAAATAAGAATATTACTCAGGAGTGCCTTGCAGTTCTTGTTGGGAATAAGATGAAATCGGTCTACCATCGTATGCACCGGGAACCAATAGAAAGTCTGGGGACACAATTGCTAAGCTGTAAGAATTGGTTGGCATCAGAGAGACTGTCACACTTCAATGATAGCGTGTTCAATCATACTGCAAAACCCTTCATTGACAAATGCAGAGAAAATGTTCTACAGATTTCCAATTCGCAGTTGTCATTTCATAGAGATGATAAAAAAGTTCTTTAAAGGAATTTAAAGAGCTTTGTATCATGTTTCTACACGGGGAAGTAGAAAGACACAAAGCCACATTCAAGCGGTCAGGAGCAGTCCACAAAACAAGGTGGATATTGCTCTATTGTATAAGGATCTGCTTGTAGGCTGGCATCAAACTTAAAATCACCCCAGAGTCGATTTGGCTCCGGCTTTGGAAAGCCTGTCTTTCTAGAATTAATTACAAGTATAACAACTTTTTCTGATCTTGTGGGGACTCATGGTATACATTTGAACTACTACAAATTGAGACTCAATTCCTCAACGAAGACGTGTCTGATTGGTTAATCCGCAACAACTATCAAGCTGCAATTAAAAACATTGAATCACTCATAGTCATCAATGACAGCATGGAGAGGGGTGTGCTTTTTGATGCTGACAGAAAATCCAAGCTGAGCTTGGATTTTCTGTCAGCATCAAAAGCTGAAGAACACTATCTAGATGTTCTTCAAGTTGTAGAGTATGAACATTGCATGCAGTTTAATCTACGTAAACGCAAGTCTACTTACAAGTGACAATATCGTGATAATGGTAAGCATTAGTGAGATCGTATATGATGTAAATATAAATTACTCACAGCATAATAATGCATATTGTAAACAATAAGGTAATGTTCGTCCTGGTAATATTTTGATTGCTACCGTACTAGTGTTTTGCTATTGTATATCCTAGTAATAGTTCCCCTGGGATACCTAGATTATGTTCAAATATTAAAAAAATTTGGAAAACATCTATGTACATTAATAGGAAAAGAAATGAAATAAGGACAGACACCTTTGATTAAAATTTTAAAAAACGGGTCAAATTGATGCACCCTAATATTTATATATATATGTGTGTGTGTGTTACTGATTTAAAAAAAATACCTTTTACAGTACTAAAATACCAACCAAATGAAATAAAAATTAGAGTTTTGAATTATATTTATCCATGAACACCCACAAATTTTTTTTTATGCTTTACATAACCTCTTCAGCTATTTGCTACTCTAAACTTAAGTTTATGTCAATACTTATGTCAAATGAGAATGTTTTGCAAAAAATGGCACCATTTAAAGTCAGAAAATAAAAACACTTAAATAATTTGCTCATGTGTGTTAGTTCATTTGTGAGAGTGTTGAACTCTTATATCACCTTGCTCTGAATCTCCTCTAACTTTCATAATCATCTTGACTGTAAAAGCTTTATTTTTTATTTGATGAGTTTGCAAGAAGAGAAATAAGAAGAGATTCAGAATGAGCATATGCATTATATGCATATGCCCATTTTGAACAGACTTACTAATGGCATCCATAACTTTGACTGTTTGACCTCTTAATAGATAAAGAAGTTTAATTAGATCATGGAGCCCATCGACAATAGAGTGCTTTACCTTGATTCTGAACCACATATGAAAGTATACTTGAGCCACAAACTGAGAAAGAACTTTTTTTAAAATATCTCCTTCCAATATTCACATCTCCTACAAAAAACATAAAATTTAAACTGTTATAAAATTGTTGTTCAAAATACTTGAACTGTCCAATACTTAAACATCCACTGAATGTCCAAAGGTGCCCAGGGGATATTCAGATATCTAATAGATGTTCTATGGATGTTATTGGATGTCCTGTGCCCACTAAGTATCTATTAGAAATTCATTTTTCAATATCGTTTTAAAAAACTCACCTATCAAGATCATCAGAAAGAAGCAAATTCTTCTGAATATGTAGACATTTCTTTAGTATATCTCTCAGTGTAGGAACTTCAGTTTCCAACCAATCTTTTGCTACTTCAAGATATTTAGTTAAATTAGTTGTAGAAGAATGTCTAGTTTGTTACATTTTTTAACTTTCCATAATAAATTTTATTATTCTATTCTATTTTATTATTTACTGTAAAACAAAAACAATCATACTTAAAAACCACAAAAAATGTTCAACAAATATTGAAACTTTTTGATATTGCATGCTCATAATAAAGTTCACTACTATCACTAATACTAAATACTAAGTAACTGTATTCTATAATTCATCGATTACAATATAAATGGACTTATTAAAAATTGGATAATTAAAAATTTAGAAGACATGGGTAAAGTTTTGTTAATTTTTTGTCGTAAAAATGCATTTTTTATCGCTTTTTTATATTTTTCAAGTTAATTTTACAGAATCAAAAATAAACACTAAAATAGCGTCTTTGTCAAAATTTTCACTGAGAATGTTCATGGGTTCATCAAAAAGCCTAGCAATAGTTCTTCCTCAAGCAGAGTTCAAAAAAACAAAACAACATTTGCAAAGCATCTCCTAAAAGCATTAGTTTTTTCAACAATTGATATTCAGAAATAATAATTTGTAATTTTTTTAAAATTGGTTTCAATACATGATTTATACAGTTTTTTAACACAATTTTTTCGAATAGTGCTTTCTGATGAATCTTTTGCTTTGTACTTTTGTAAAAAATCTTGAAATTTTATGTGGTATATCAGCAGCTATAAGTGTCACACAAGTCATGAGTGAATTGTGAATATCTTATAGAATTCCACATCAAATGACCCAGGTCATGTCACCTTACATTTCAGATTTTGCTTATTTTTATAAAATTGAGTGAGCTTAGTAAAATAAGAATTCCTTGAAAATTTTAGCCTCTGTCTCCAAGATGATCCTGAAATATGATAGTTTTACTTTTAGCAGATATTTGCCAGGGCCCTTTTGTCTCCTCAGAATTGCAACATTTATTTGGAGGTTGCAAGTCACATAACTTTAAAAATATTTGATTTTTTCACTTGAAAATTTGTAACTGGCTATTTTAGGGGGTGACATCCAATGAAATTATCAGAAGTATAAAAAATTATTATTAAGTGCCTATAATTATCAATTTATGTAACTTGGGCAATTTTTTATATACCAGTTTTTAATATTTGAGAAACCCATGTGGCCTTGATGATATCAAAAAATAAAAAATCAAAGAAATATTACACATTCTATAATCATCTTTCAAAAAATGTAAAGATTTAGATCTAAAGATTTACATATATGGATAATGGGGCAGGGTCCCCACTTTTTTGTGGAATATTGCAATTGATTTTTTTGCTACTTTCTAGACTTTTTGGTCTAGAGGGGATTGGGGCAAGTGCCTCACTTTTTTCTAATAGAATCTTGTGATAGATTTTTCACTACTTTTCAGACAAACTGGAAACTTTCAGCATTTGTGTAGTCTTAATGAATGCGTGCTAAAATTGTTTCCAGGGCAGACCACCAGAGATTCCATGGCCCGGGGCACTAGGGTTATGCCCCATTTTCTCAAAATTAATTTTTTTTTTTGCATTTTCAATAATGTAAAGATAACTTTAAAAATGTTGTCTTGGAAATTTTTTTTGGTTTGCACTTGTTCTGTTTTATTTAAATATTTACAAATTAAAATTACAAAAATATAAAGGTCAAGAGAGTGTTAAAATTTGCTTAGATGCGTAATGGTAAAAGTATACATGTCCAGTTATAGGTTTATTAATGATACAAGTTATGTTGGTAATTGGAACCCAACACACAAAAAATTATACAAAATTGCTATATTACTAATCAAATCTATATCTTCTAAATCAAATGCTTAGATTTTATCAAATAGGTGCTGTTTTATACTGCATTAATAAATTTATTGAATATGCACAAAAAATCGCTAAAATATGCTTTATTAAGTATAAATAAGCAAATATATTAATTAACAGTGAAATACCAATAATCATTTCATAATAAGTAGGTCTCAAAATGCACATATTTTAATGTAATGGGCAAATATCTTACTCACATTTAATAAATCTTACTGGAAAAAAAAATTGAAAAAAAAAAAAGTCTTACAAGAAAATTAATGAGAAAGTTATAAATACACATGCATATTAATATATGCACATAAATACACATGCATAGATTGTCACTCAAGCAGAAGTCTTTTCAACAGAGCAAAAAATATTAATAGTATTAGTAATATAAAAATTTTAAATTAATGGTAATAACAAAAATTGAAATTAAAAAAAAGTAAAATATATGGTTAAAGAACACAAAGTCAATGATTGCAAATAAAAGACCCATAAAAAATAAGGAAAAAATTGCAGACAAAAATAAACATAGAATCAAAAGGGCATAAACAAATTAAAAAAAATATAAATGAAAAGAAAAAATTGTTATTTTATAAAAAAATATTTTTGTTTTAAAAATATGTTCTTTATTCTGATTTTTTTATTTTATGTTAGTAATGTTTTATTAAATGCTAATATAGTTTTATTAATAGAAAATCAAGATTTTAGGAAAAAAATAACAAACTATGGTTTGAAGATGTGATGCATCTTCAAACCAAAAAAAAATGTCTTAATAATAAAATAATAAAATAGATAAACAAAAGAGTGAGAAAGAATTTCAAAATCATTTAAAAAAATTGACATAATGAATTTTTTTTTTCCTACAATACAAAATTAACAAAATTAAAATATATATTTTAATATAAACTGACATGAGAAGTGAGTGAAGTCTGTGGTTTTTTTAATATAAACTGAGAGGAGAACTCACAGTGAAATATGTAGCATTTTGTAAAATCTTATTTAGTTCTAGTATCTTTGAATGTATTTAAAAATTTGGAGAGTGTTTTTGATTATTGTTTATTTCTTTTTTATAGGAGTTAATTTTGAAATGTAAAGAACTTCGATTTGAAAATCAAAAACTTAGGAAACAACTTGATAATTTTAATCTTCAGCGGATAAAAAATATAAAGAAAAAAGAACACAAACAACGACCATTTCATTTTGAAAGGTTTTTTTTATTTTTGTAAACTTTACAATTTTTATTTGTTGTTTGCTATGATATATTGGAAATCAAATTTGTCAGCTATAATACTTTAAAAATGAAACTTTGTATCTTGGTTGATGTCTTTGATTGACTTGCTTGCTATAATGTATTTGTACTAAATATATGTAGGAATCAGCACCAAATTTAACTATAGTATATATAAACTCAATGGTTTATTAACATCAGCCAAAAAAAAAAAAAAGTCATGCTGTTTATATTAATTTTTAAAAAAATTTGTCAAAAAGAAAAATGTAGTAAAAATCGGGCTAAATTTTTTTGATTTAAACAAAAAAATAATATTAAGAAAAACTAACTTTTTTGTTTTAGTCAAAGCTCGCCTTTTTCGTTTTTTTATAGGCCAGATAGTCTGCATAATATACGCTGCAATCTACAGGCTTGATAATTTATTCAAGCGCATTTTATTCCTAAGACTTTTACTACATGGTGTCATCATTTTGTTTGTTTAAAAGGTTGATTATGTAATAAAACTCAACAGTACATGACGTCATAGATATTATTTGTTTGTTTACATAATCAATCTTTTAAACAAAAAAAAAAAATGTTTTTTTTTTATCATTCTTATTCATTTCTTATTAATGCGGTAGTAGTGTAGTGGTAGAGCGCTCGCTTTATAAGCAAGAGGTTCCGAGTTCGATTCCCACCACGTCCCTGGTAGTACCACGCTCAACTTGTTTCACCGCGCAGCGGCCTTGTTCGTCAAGGTTTATGTTTCGGAGTTATAGAGTTGAGAGAGGGTTATAACCACAAGTAGCCTCCTCATCTGTAGTGGCCTTCTCGGTCTTGGGGAGGTGAATTACAAAAAAAAAAAAAAAAAAAAAAAAAAACACAACATGTTTCGAAGGTTTAAACATGTTTTGAAGGTTTGGGATCCCTTTAATATATGAGCAACTTAAATTAGTTATTTTGAGCATTGAGTTAATTCTGTTGTGGATTTAATTTGAACACAACATGTTTTGAAGGTTTGAACACAACATGTTTTGAAGGTTTGAACACAACATGTTTTGAAGGTTTGAACACAACATGTTTTGAAGGTTTGGAATTCCTTTAATATATGAGCAACTTAAATTAGTTATTTTGAGCATTGAGTTAATTCTGTTGTGGAGTTCAAAAACTTTTATTTTTTTATTGTTACTGAAATAATACTACAATTTGAAAACTTAAATGTTGTTATAAAATCTAATGTTTTTTTATAAAATCTATTGTTTTTTATAAAAGAAACTTTTTATTTGTTTAAATAATATTTTATAATTATTTGCAAACCATTTATAAGTTTATGCATTTTCTTAATTCTTGAGTTCTTTAAAAATTTAAAACTTCTCTTATGTTCCGATTTTTATAATTTTATGAAATTAAAAATAAAAAATACATAAGTTAGCTAATATTTATCAAAAAAAAAAGGTAATTCAGCAAACGAGTGTAAATTTTTTTCCTCCATTTTGTGGTTTGAACAAGATTTCATAATGTCATTATCTTATTTAAATATACATTATAAAAAAGTTAAAGAAATTTTTTTTTGATGTTTTTCAAGGCTCCTCCTCTTACATGTCTCATATGACATGTTTCATATGACATGTTTCATATGACATGTTTCATATGACATGTTTCATATGACATGTTTCATATGACATGTTTCATATGACATGTTTCATATGACATGTTTCATATTTAAAATTTTATGCTTTATGTTATTCTATTTATTGTTTCACAACAATTTAATATCCAAATTAAAATTTAACCAAGGTCACTGGTTTCAGTTAAAAAAATCCTACTAGAAAGCAAAGTTTTAAAAATGGAATCATAATTTATGATTGAGAAATTTGTTATTATAACCAAGTTTTAAATATTTTATTAAATTTATGGACTAGAATCAAGTTTCCAAAAATTGCCATTTGAGACAAAAATGTTATCTTTAAAAACATTAGGAGTTATGAAAAAATTATTAATATATTAGACCTTCTTTAACAAAAAGTAAAAAAGGTCTGGGTTCAATTTTTTAGTAATTGGATAAATTAATTATAAATTTGTAAAGTTTTGAAATAATTTTTTCGCCTGAATTAATTTTTTTGGAAAATTTACTTCTTTTTTAAAACAAACAAAAAAAGTCATTTTTAATGGAAAACATTTTTTCCCCAAAACTTGATTAATTGTAGAGGGGAATTTTTTTTTCCTTCAAGTTAATCATTGGTTGTTGGAAAATAGATTTCTTTGGAAGCAAAAAGAAATCTTACTTTTCTCATTTGTTCTTGGCTAAGTAAAATGGAATTCAACATTTCACTTTATCTTGATCAATAATATAAACCACTTTATCAATAATGATCATTAAGAGTTAAATGTTAACATTAAGAGTTAAATGTTAACATTAAGAGTTAAATGTTAGCATTAAGAGTTAAATGTTAACATTAAACCACTTTATCAATAATGATCATCAAAAGTTAAATGTTAACATTAAGAGTTAAATGTTAACATTAAGAGTTAAATATTAACATTAAGAGTTAAATGTTAACATTAAGAGTTAAATGTTAACATTAAGAGTTAAATGTTAACATTAAGAGTTAAATGTTAACATTAAGAGTTAAATGTTAACATTAAACCACTTTATCAATAATGATCATTAAGAGTTAAATGTTAACATTAAGAGTTAAATGTTAACATTAAGAGTTAAATGTTAACATTAAGAGTTAAATGTTAACATTAAGAGTTAAATGTTAACATTAAGAGTTAAATGTTAACATTAAGAGTTAAATGTTAACATTAAGAGTTAAATGTTAACATTAAGAGTTAAATGTTAACATTAAGAGTTAAATGTTAACATTAAACCACTTTATCAATAATGATCATTAAGAGTTAAATGTTAACATTAAGAGTTAAATGTTAACATTAAACCACTTTATCAATAATGATCATTAAGAGTTAAATGTTAACATTAAGAGTTAAATGTTAACATTAAGAGTTAAATGTTAACATTAAGAGTTAAATGTTAACATTAACCAGTTATCTCTTATATTGATTTAATATAATAATCAATAAGTATTGCTCATGTTGGAATAAGTATTGCTCGTGTTGGAATAAGTATTGCTCGTGTTGGAATAAGTATTGCTTGTGTTGGAATAAGTATTGCTCGTGTTGGAATAAGTATTGCTCATGTTGGAATAGCACTTTTTATAAACTATATAAAAACAATAGATACCTTTATAAAAACAATAGATACCTTCAACATAGACAAGTTAATAGCTTTAATGCATTCTCTTTGATTTAGCCAAGACCAATTGAGAAAAATAAGATTTCTTTTTTCTTCAAAAGAAATCTTTTTTCCAACAACAAAAATTAACTTAAAGGAAAAAAAAAATCCACTCTACAATTACTCAAAGGTGAAAAAAATGTAAAAAAAAAAAAAGATGTAACAACTTTTTTAATACAAATAACTCATAAGAATCAAAATTAATTCTGTTTTGAATATAATTAAAGATTCTTATGTTTCAGAAGATGGCGATGATTATCAAATGTCTTTTACGTTATCCAAAGCACTATTCTTTGCTTGCATTGATGCAAGCTTGGTAGTCCACAGGCATGGCAGGTTTTCCATCTTGGAATGTTGAAGGTTGGTTAGTTTTCAAATTTTTTGAGAAAAAGAAGGTTTTGTCTTGAATGGTGTTTAGAAAGATAAGGGTCATGGGATTTTACTAGAACCTCTAAAAATATTCTTCTTGATTGAAGATTTTCAGAATCTTTTTAAAACCTTTTTAGAATCTTGCATTATCTTTCAGCACATTCTAGTATCTTCCATAACATTCCAGAATATTCTTACCTTCAAAAATGTTCTGGAAGGTTCCATAATGTTCTGAAATGTTCTAGTAGGTTTCAGAACTTTCTGGAAAGTGTCTTAATGTTTTGGTAGGGTTCTATAATCTTCCAAAATGTTTTGGAGAGTTCCTAAATAATCTAGAACAGGCTTGAACATTCCAGAGTATTTTGGAAACCTGTTTAGAGCTTTACAAATTGTTCTAGATCTTTCCTTTTATTTGAAATCATCCAATTTTAAGCAACATTTCTTTATAACAAAAACATAATGTTTTTGGTGATTTATAAGTTAATAGTAATATGTGCATTATCATAAAACTTTAGATGTGTTAGGAAAGGGGGATGTTAGAATTGTGCTAGAAAAATAAAATTTTATACTTGTCATCTTAGGGGTAAAAACTTCAGTCTTTGAACAATTTTATATATTTTGAATAACCCTGGTGGCTGTACATTGCATCTAGAAGTTATTTGGGGACAATGTTTTAAAAAAAATACACCTGTTGATGTCACATTCAATTACAATTTACGCTAACTTATTGACAAGCGAGTAATATATACTTTTAACTTTTGTTTTGTATAATTCTCTTTACTTTTTATAATGCAAAGAACTTATGCAAAAGTTATATCCATAATAAAGTACTGGAGTTTTTGCGCAACTTTGGACGCATTAACCAGTATACCTGTGTCAAAATTGGCTTGGATATGTCAATGCTGTAAAATAATAATAAATAAAGGAAATTGAACCTGTGATAATTTCATACAAAAATAATTTCCATATATTTCCAGTTATAGAAGTCATCGAATTGCATTAAAGTTTTTGTACCTGGGATGGGATTATCAAGGATTAGCAAATCAAGAAACAACAAATAACACTATAGAGGTAAAAATAAGTTTTTTTATTTTTTGTCTCTTTCATTTTGTCTTTTTATTGTTGCTGCATTGTTGACTAGAACTATTTTTTTTACAAATTTATATTCACTGCCTTTAAAGTTTAATTTATTTTTCAAATGTATTTTCACATCTTGTAGTCCAGGCAACAGTCACAGTTTTGAAATAATATAAAAACCTCTTCTTTATTCCTGAAATTATTTAACAATTTTTTTAGTCAAATTTTTAAATTTTTTGTAAGTCAATATTTTGATACAACAGTTTACTTTCTGACTTTTTTAATTTTTTTTGTTTTCTAATTTGTTGATGGTAACAATCAAATTGTTTAACAATTAATTATAATAAGGCAAGTGGTAGGTTTTTGATATTTCAAAGACTTTTGACTAAGTTTGGCATTTCTCCAAATCATGAATAACCTCTTTTCTAAGACAGTACCACAGTGTTTCATATTAGGTCATATATTTTCTCATCTATGTAAACCATTTTTTTACCATTAAAGTGACTTAATTTGCTGGTAATGCAACTATATATTCCAATTTTTAAAAAAAAGTCATCGCTTTTTGATCATTCAACTTTATATTTTCTGTGATTTGCACGATTACTGTGATTTGCAGCAACTGGTGTATGTTAGTTTAAATTATATTTTTAACCAATAATTATGATAATAATGAATAAATATATATATATATAATAATAAATATATCCCTTTTTTTATGATTAGCAAGATGCTGATTGAATTTCCTATTTTATGTTTTTAAGTTTAAGTATTTAATGTCTTAAGTTCTCTTTGTTGAGCCAATTTTTATTTCTTATTTGTTCTTGTAAAGAATACTTTTGTCTCAATTGTGCTGGGTTTTCTGATATCTTTTTTAATAATATAGCTCTGTCTGCTCTAGCGGACAGACCTGCATCTCTGGGTCATTGTTGTACTCTATCTAACAGACCTGCATCTCTAAGTCATTGTCGTAAGGTTGCATCTCATTTTTTCATTTTTATGGTTGCTGCTCAATTTAGCTAACATCTCTTGTTTTTTTTCCATCTTATGCCTTGTAATTCTGTTTTCATGCATTTACATTTTTCCTTTTTGACTGTTTTTTTTTTTACTTAAAACTTTTATTTGTCTGGTTTTTTTGTGCATGAATCTTTTGGAATTCTCTCCCCTCATTGTGTTTTCCGAAGTTTTATAATTTGCAGCTTTTCAAGTTTTTTGCTAATTTTGCAAAAATAAAAAATTTAAGTAAATAAAAAAATTTATGTTTATAATTATAAAAATAAAAAAGTTTATATATTTGAAATTCAATGATTTTTTCAAGGATGCAATCTTTAATGCTATGATTAAAGCAAAGTTGATAGAAGATCGTGTTTTGTGCAAATATTCTCGTTGTGGTAGGACTGATAAAGGAGTCAGTGCTTTCGGACAGGTTTTTTTTTATTTTAAATTTTTTACATTATGTTTTAGAACTTTGTGTTTTTTTAATATATAGTTCAATCACTTCATATTGCAAAAAATAATTTTTTTTTTGTGATTTTGGAAAGTTTGATGAAATCAATTAACATCAGTTAATTTAAGTCATGATTAGACTAATTTAAAGATTAGAATTAAACTGCTTGGAAAGGAGTTTAATTCTAAACTCCTTTAATTGCAATTTAAAGTTTAGAGTTAAACTGCTTGAAGGTCACATAATAAAGAATTTGATTGATAAGAAATAATATTCTCTAGTATTTTGGTGTTTTTAAATTAGTTAAAGAGAGATTACATTTAGATGTTATTTTTAGAATAGAAACGTTTTTTTCCATGATTACATTAACGTTAATTTTCTTTCCTAACAATTGGGTGAAAAAGTTAAAAATAATTGTTATTTTGATTGAATTGTGTTTTAATTATTTTATTTTTTTTTGTTTTTAGTGTTTTTATTTCTAATTTTACTTTATAAAAAAATTTTCTTTTTCTTAAACATATTTGAGTCTATGTTTTATAAGTTATATTTAATGAAAAAGATTTTAAAACATTTTAATTACATTTTTAATGTAAGTATCAGTTTTCATTATTTACTTTAATAAAAGAAATAAATACTAATTTAAATTTGTAATGTTTTCAGAAAATAAAGTTTTATGGATCATTAGCTAAAAGCTTATTAAAAAAAAAACTATTTTCTTTTAATAAGCTTTTAGCTAATGATCCATAAAGTTAATTTTCAAATCATGAAAATTTACAAAGTTAAAACTACATTTTAGTTTTAAGTCTTTTAGAGATTTTTATCAAACATTTGACCTTGACATTCTTTTATGGAGATTAAGTAAAACTGAAAACATTTTAGTGTTATAAATTTAAAACCAATGAATCTAACTGAACTCCATGAATAAATACTCTTTACCAATGAAAACAATTGTAAGAACTTTTTTTATCAATGTAATTATTTTGTATTAAATGTTCTATCAATCAGGCACCACTGCCCAGCCCAGCTTTAAAATATAAATTTCTATATAATGTCATGAAACATATATAGAATATTAAAATGTATACATTTGTATATTTTACATATATTATATATGTATAAATTATATATATATATATATATATATATATATATATATATATATATATATATATATATATATATATATATATATATATATATATATATATATATATATATATATATATATATATATATATATATATATATATATATAGAGAGAGAGAGAGAGAGAGAGAGAGAGAGAGAGAGATTAGGGTGACAAATCATTTCATTTTTTTTTGCTCTCAACCTTTTATTTGGTTCTAATTAATCAAAAAATGATATTGGTAAATATTGTGAACAATCTGTTTATGGGTTGCTCAGTCCAGTTTTTTGATTTTGCATTTTGATTTTGATTTTGCTTGAACTCATATATTTCATACTTTATTATTATCTCTTCTATTTTACTTGTTGAGTATGTTATCAGTAATTTTACAACATATTTATCGTTTATCTCTTCTATTTTACTAATTAAGTTGAGAATCAATAACTTATTGTTTGTTAATCTTATTAGTCTTTATGCTTAATATACAGTGTTTTTTTTTTTTAATTTGTAAGTTAACAATAAAATTAGTTGGCTGGCATTCAAAACACCTAGTGTATTATTTCATCGTCAATTTTGTTGTTTCATCAGTATTGCACTACTGCTGAAGTTATTACATCATCCTGAAATTACAAATGAAATCATTGTCTTGAATGAAAACACTTTTTTAAAACACATTAATAGATAGATAGTTTCAAAGATGATTTAGAATAAATGGAGACTAAAAGTCAAAATAAAGTATGGTATATTGGTCAAGCTACAGGTATGATCACAAGGCACAAATTGCCATCTAAATGACAAGTTTTACAAACTTTTTTTCCTTTCAAAATAACAATGTAAGAGAAAGGGCAGATTTTGTGACAGATAAGGTTTTAAGGACTTTTGAAGAGAAAAACTTTTTGAAAAAAAGAGAAGGAGCGTGTTCGACAGTCACAGACCTAGTTTTGAAAAAATCAGACTTCTCTCAGGGTACTAATAATAAAATAGATGACTTTATTCCATCATCATCAAAGAAACTGAAACTGAAGCTAAAAAAGAGTTAAGAAACAGAAAATCTTACCTGATTTAAACAGCAGAGATGAAGTGGATCAACTACCCGTATTAGTGACAGGATATGGTGTCAAAAACTGTTGTTAGTCCCAACACTAGATAGAGGCACTAATGAATAAATGAGTTATGCAACAGAACAAGTTTTATAAGATTGGAACATTTCATATAACAAAATTATGGCACTCTCTTTTGATACTACTTTAAGCAACACAGATATAAAATCAGGTGTTTGTACCTTCGTGGAAAAATTAAATGGAAAGTCTTTATTATACACAAACTGTCAACACCATATTCATGAAGTGATTTTGTGATCCATGTTTACAAAACTTGTTTTGGACCATCTTTAGGTTAAACTTTAGGTCAGAATTAAGTAAACTTAATTCTGACCTAAAAGTAAAATAAACGCTAAATTACACTAATAAACAAAACAAGAGATTAAAAGTTTTCTCTCACAGAGCCTTAAGTTAAATTAAAAATCAAAATGGTGTATTAAGTTTAACGAAAATTGCTGCGTAAAAAAGCTTAAGATCTCCTACTTCCGTTTTTTTAAATAAATTTAGCCTTGTGTAATTTATGAACAATCTCTAAGAAAGTTAAGCCAAGAAGACGCAAAATGTTGTAGAGTTTGAAAGAGCATTATTGGGGGGGGGGGGGTATTTTTATACTTGGGTGAAAACACTGAAGTTAAAAATATGATGATCCAGAATATCTCAATGGTTCATTGTTTAAAAATTATTTAACTTTGTTTCAGGTGATTGCTCTCAATGTGCGATCCAATACTCTGGTTAGTGAAGAAGAAGGTAGTTTAATTTTTTTTAATTAAATTTCAATTTACAATTATTAGTAGATGCCCATATAACAATGAGATGCCCATACCATAATGATTTCCTATAACATAACTTACATTTTGAGACCGCTCAACCATTAAATATATATTTGCATTTCTCTAGCATGTAGCATTTTTTACTAAATTTGATCTTAAGTTTTTTAAGATATCTAAGTAAATTTAAAAAATATGTAAATCTAAATTTATTATTTAAGTCAATTATTTGTAACTTATTTAAGAATTTATTTATGAAATTATTGTTAAATTTATTTGTATTTTTTTAAACTTTTGTTTTCAAATTTACAAAAATTTAACAATTAATTTTTTTTACCTTTTTATTTTGTATTTGAGAATTTTTTAATATGCTTTTCTTACTGCTCTTATAAGCTTTTTTTTTTTATTTTTTACTTTTTTTCATTTGTAAGTGCATTGTTTCTATGTAATTTTTGTTTCTTAAATTTTGTTTTACTGTAAGCAATTGTAATTATAGATACAAGGGAAGAAATATCATATGTTAGACTTCTAAACAAAATTCTTCCACCTGAGATTCGAATGTTGGCTTTTGCAAGAGTTCCTCAAGATTTTGATGCAAGGTTTTGCTTTTTTTTTATTTTTTGCAAAGTTTTCAGAAATTTCTACAGAATAAAATATAAAACAATTATAGAATTTTTACAAAACAACAAAATAAAGTAAAATGTTTACTGGTAGCAATTGGTAGATGGTAGAGAAAACCAAAAAAGTAGCAATTGCAAAATAATTGAAAAATTGGTGATGAGTAAAAAAATTTTTTTTAATAATGAGCTATAATTTTTATTTTTTATTTAAATTTATTTAATAATTACATTTTATTCAGAAAAATTCTTGAGTTATTGTGGTTATTGAGCCTGTTTTCCAAAATGACTCAATATTCCGTTTTTTCCGATTTTTTCTTTAATAAAATTAGAAATAATAATAATAGAGCATTCAGAATTTTAGATAAAGTATATAACACCTGCACTTAGGATGCTAAAATATATAAGGATGCTTAAAAATTTCAAAAATTGTTTTATATCACCCGATATAAAACAATTTTTAAAATATCTGTTATCTCAAAATATACCATTATAAAATTGATTTCGTTACTTAGATATTAAGTTGAAATTTTTAATAAAAAACTCAAACTGGAAAAACAATAGAAACTCAGAACTGTTATTTCAAAGGTATACCATATTCAAGAATTAAAAAAAAACAACTAGCAAATAGTTATCTGGTATAGTATTTGGTTGAATTATTGAAAAAACAATCAACGACACAAATCTAATTAAAGCTTAAGAGTTTAACATTTTTACCTTTAATACATTATTTTTTCTATAGAACTTTAAATGAATTGATTCATTTGTTGGAAGAAATTTTTTTCTTTACTTGTTATAATTTGTTCCTTACTAGTTTTCTTTGTATTACTTTTAATACAAAGTATTTTTCCTTACTTTTTGTACAAATTTTATTTCTTCCTCATTATACTTTAGTCCTTTCTCTTTTTATTAATGCACACATAATGAAAATCACCATCAAATAATTTATACACAATATTTTTATACACGACATTCATATATTCAAAGCTGTAACAGAATATTTTTTTTTTAATATATAATTGAAAATCTTCTGTAGCTAATTTTAATATTAAGTTTATAAAATATTCTTATAACTAATTAAAGTTAATTTTAATATTTAGATTTAATATTTAGTTGTACTTAGTGGTTAATTTTAATATGTAGTTTATTATTTAATATTTTTACAATGTACATAACTTATACAATTAATTTTAATATTTAATTTATAAAATATTCTTTAATTTAAACTTTAAAACTGTAATAAAAATACTATATTTGTGCCTTTATAAACAATCATATATTTGCTTTAAGTGAAGAAACTTGGAAATATTGAAACTTGTTTAACTATTTAATTTTTTTTTTAGATATAATATTCAATATTAGGGACTAATATTCTAAAGAAAAAAAGTCAATAATATATATTCTATACATATAATATATGTATAGACACTTTAATTTTATATATTTTATTGTTTATAAGTCATATATATATATATATATATATATATATATATATATATATATATATATATATATATATATATATATATATATATATATATATATATATATATATATATATATATATATATATATATATATATATATATATATGACATATAAACAATAAAATATAAAATTAAAGTGTCTATACTTAAATATATAAAATTAAAGTTCTCCAAAGTAATTACTCTCTGTAGCAATATTATTTCTTGCTATGCAATGTATATTATACCTATTGAGTTCTTGCCTAGCCTGATTTATTTCATTTTGATTACAATTTATTTCAGCTCGCCTGGACTCACGTCTTTCATTCTGAAGTATATCTCTTTTAAACAAATTTACTCAAAAAGTAACATTATAAAAATTATTTAATGAAGTATAATATCTGTTCAATAAAAGTTACTTAAAATTAAAAGTATTAAAAAATTATTATAGATATTAAAAAACTATATAACTTTCAACATTTCTTATAAACACATTCTTTCAACAATTTTTTTTTTTAACACTTTTTATGACTACACTAACTACAAAGAGATTTAATTTATATATTTCATCATAACAGTACACCACTTAACTGGCGTGGACAAAAATCTTGCTCCCAACAAAGCCAAGTCACATTATAGCAAAGTACACCACTTGGCTAGCAAAATCAACACTCTTGCTGTAAACTAAGCCAAGTCACAACAATTTGAAAAGATATTTACAAACACACATATTTACACACTTACAAAATATAAACCCATATAACCTAAACACATAATCATAAATAACACGTAAATATAAATTAATCTATATAGAAATAACAACCTTATTTTTGTTTAATGACATACCTCATATAATAAATGTTTTTACAACTTGGAAAAACAAACAATCTGGTTTTTTATACAAAAGCAAACAGATTTTTTTTTAACTTATTTAAAGGTAAGGTATTAAACGTTGTTGAGATGCAAGATATATATATAAATATATATATCTATATATATATATATATATATATATATATATATATATATATATATATATATATATATATATATACACACTAACTTTATCAAGAGTTTGACCTCTTGAAAAGAGCATCATCTTTTAGAGTCACCATTTTCTTTTAATTAAAAAATTAAAATTATTACTAATTATTTATTACTAATTAAGTTGATGAAGCAAAGTTTTCGATCTTATTACTGATTAAACAGATATTAACAGATTCAAGAGTACCTCATCACGTGGTCAAAAAGAGAAATATCTAAAAGGCCAAGCATGCTCATAAAACTCCGTGTAAAAACGCGCACAAATGGGGAGCAGCATCGGAAGCGTTATGTTATTAATATTTATAGATTTTTATAATAATAATATTTTATTTTTGTAATGATATTGTATAATTGTAATGATATTACATAAACTAATTGTAAAACATAAGTTTATATAATCTTTATACAAACTATGTTTTACATATTTATCAATGTAATCAATGTATATACATTCATATGTGGTAGTGATAGAGTACTTACTGTGTAGATCATAAGTTCTGAGTTCAACCTCTGTCAAACATAGATGAGTTTTTTCCGGGAATTCCTGGATTTCCGGAAATTCACTTTATTTTTCCAGAAATTTCCGGATGTTTTTTTTTATTAATTTGTTTAAAAAATTATATATTTTTACATAAAATTAAAAAAAAACTTTTGCATTTAAACAAATATATTTTCTATAGTTTAAAATTTCACTAGATTAATTTTTGTAACAATTTTTTTTCTTTTTTTCTTTTTTTGCTTTTTTATTTATTCAAATTAACTTTATCGAATATTAAAAATTCCTTTTTGTAAAAAGTTAAATTATTTAAATTCCATTTTAAAAGTTTACGAAAGTGTTTGTTTTAATTTAATAGGAACGTTTTTTAATAAAATAATTTTCCGGAATTTTCCGGGATTTTCATAAAAAAATATTTCCGGGATTTTCATAAAGTCAAATACTCATCTATGGTCAAATCCCTGTTAGTACCATTCTTGAGTGATATCTTTGTTCAGCTGTCTAATTTAAGATTTGTTTTTTGAATTAATGGATTAAGAGAGGAAAAATAATTAATATAAAGGTGAATCGTTAATTTTAGTAACTTTTTTAACCTTAGTGAGGAGAATGAATTCTGGAAATTCTGAGGTTTAAAATATTTGTAAAAATATTTTAGATTTTCTGTTGTACAATAAAAAGATTTAATACAAAAAAAAAAAATACAATGGTTTTTGTTTTAATTTAATTTACTGGCACTAAGAGTTTTTTATAAAAATATACTTATATTAAGTAAAATATGTTTTTTTAATTATGAAAAAAAGTTGATTGCAATTTTTTTTTTCTTCATGGAACTTTAAATTTATTTGAACAAAACAAGAATTTAAACATTACTTTGTATTAAGTTTATAATGTTTGATAGCTAAATGATTGTCTATTTGTGTATTTTCAAATCGTAACTATTTTAATGTTAAAGTTTCTTTTTTTTTCAGAACTAAAAAATAAGATTGCAATAAAGCATATGTTAAATTCAGAACAATAAATTTTGTTTTAAAACTTGTCACTAATACTTTTTAAAGTTATTTTTTTAGTGTAATTTTATTTATTTTATTTTTTTTTTGTTTATTCACTTCCTCGAGGTCGAGAAGGCCACTACAGACGAGGAGGCTACTTAATTACATTAAGTAATGATAGTATAATTAAAAACATCAACAAACAAGTCAAAATATTTCTTTTAATTAAAATCTCATCGAAACAGTTAGAAATACAAAAAAAAAGTTCTGCCCAACTATCTACAAAATTCTTCTGCATCGTTACTTTCAATCACTAAAGCATCTAAATCTAGCAAAGCTACTGTTTTTATGGTCATAAAACGATGCAAGAGCTCTCTATCAAACTAGCAAAAGTATTTGGAAGTAAGAATGTTTTTAAGGATAAGAAAGAAGCAATTAGTATTTGAAATTTGTTCACCATCTTATCAAACAGAGAATAAGCCAAAAGTTTTAGAGTTTTTTTTGTCAGGAAAGTTAAGAAATTCTACAATTCCAAGTGTTATTGAGTCATTAAATATCCAAGCCAATCAGATTAGCAATCACTGACTGCTAAAACTCAAGCTCAAAAACTTTATAAAGTGCTTACAAAATTTAATGGCAGCATAATTATAGATGACGAAGTGTACATCAAATGTGACTTCAAACAGCTATCAGGTCCAAAATTTGACACTTTAATTGTTCACTTAAATAAAGCTGATATTAATAGGAAAAAAAAGACACTGTGCAGAAGTTGATGTTGTCGATAAGCATAAATGTTCGCTTATTTATTCGAAATAATGTAAAATATTTAAAAAAAAAAGTATTTTTATAATCTTCAAGTTCCTTAGATTAAAATAAATGTTTTTGCATTAGTTTAATTATTTTATAATTGTTTTTAATTTTTCATTGTTTTAAATTTAATGATCACATGCTTTTTCAGGGTTGGAATTAATGCAAAAAATAACAAAAATTGTATAATTTATTTTGAAATCTTTCAGCCTTATTTTACTTAACATGATAATTAAAAAAGTAAAAGTAAAAGTATTACAATATTTAAATCATTTTAAACTGTTATAAAAAACTATTTAATACCCCGTTCATGCTGACAATAGAACATATTTTATTGTTTCTATAAAAAACTATGTAAAACGACAATAGAATAATAATGTGAAATTTTTTTCGATATAAAAAGCTTGTGTTAATACAAAAAAATTTTGCTACATTATTTTATAGCTGTTTTATACAAAACATTAAAAACAAAACGCATTTTTAATAAAATAAAGTAAATAAATAGAACTTTAAACTTTTCAATTTTTGCAAAAACTTGCTCTATATATATAGACCAAACGAGTAAGAACAAATCAAAAAAACAAGTAAATTCAAACAAATAAATTATTACATATTTCTATTAGATCCTGTTCTTTCTAATTATTTCTTCTTGATAGCATACTATTAAAATTTTAAGTATATTTCATTTTTTCATTCTAAGGGTTTTTAAGTTGATGTTTTCATTCAATTTTTTCAATTGTTTTGCAATAAAATAAAGTGAGAGAAAAAAGTTTGATTTCACAAGTCGAATTATATTTTCATAAGTCTAAGTATATGCTTAAATTTTTATATATATAGAAAAAATATTTTGAACAGAATTATAATAGTTTATTATTAAAATTTAAACTTTTTATAATTTAGTTTTTAATTCACTCTTTTAGTGTTTCTACTTTTTAAATTGTTTTCAAGAAACAAAAAATAATGATGCCTTTACAAGGTATCATTATTTTTATGATTTTTTTGTTTATGATTTAAATAAAACTTTCTCACTTCTAAATCTAATATTGTTACTGTAGCTAGATCTATATTTGGTTTTCAGGAATGTTCTTTGCTCTGCCATTGGGTGTTGGGTGTTGGGTATCACAATCATCGCTGTAGTTTCCATTCAATTTAATTTATTATTATTGTAAGCGAGCATTAAAAATTTGCAAAATTCTTTTAAATTTTTTCAAGATTATTTGAATGAAAGAAGACTAAAATTTTCTTATTCAAATAGAATTCATTTTAAAATGAATCCCTAAAAATAACTTGCATATTTATAAAAAATGCTTAATCTTGATATTGCTATAAATATAAAAAAAAGTTATTGTGTTTTTTTATATTCTATTCAAAATTTCTTGTTAAAATAATTTTCAGTTAGAAGCTTATAATGTGTTAACAACATATAAGATACATATAGAAACGTATGTATGGCTATAATTTTTAAATACCATCCCAAGAAGTTTGAGTACACTAAAGGTTTTTAACCGCTGCAAGCAATAATTAATGACTAACTTTTGGATTGATGGGAAAATCAATTAATTGAGTTTTTGCTTCATTAACCGCGTTTAACAATCAGCCTAGCAAGTAAATAACTTTTCTGTGTGAGTTATCAATGTTATTGCAGCATAATGTTCACAATAAATTGCAGTTTGAAATTATTTTGGTTAGCACAAAATTTTTAGCACAAAGGTTTCATCATAATAACATAAAAATAAGGTCAGGGAAAAATTAGTTAGGCTTGGATTGCCAAATGCTGACCCTAATTTTGAGGGCTGATGATGTAATTGTGATGTTTCATCGGGGTTTAAGTTTAAAAGCTTTTTGTATTGGTCATGTGTCAAAATTCTGTTGAATACCAGGGAAAAAGAAATAGATCTAGCACTTATCTCGAAGAAACTCCATATGTGGTATCAAACTAAGAGACAGAATCCAGAGTGATACCAGAAATAATAACTTTTTAAACAGGCACAAAAAGGAATTGAGAAGAATTAAATTTTGTATTGAGATAAGGAAATATTCACTGTTTTTTTGTTTTGTTTTTTTTGTATCTGGAATGATATGAGTTTTTTTTTTCAGGCTGAGGGAAACAAAGTTTTTAAGTTATGCAAAGCTTCAATTGTAATTGTAAATTAAGCCTTAAGAAGGACTAAATAAAGCGTTAAGGAGGACTCTGAAATGATAGTGTATTCTCTTAACACCATACCATCTGGTCCACTAGCTGGTGATTTCATTTTTGTTAATGTTTAACTAAATTCCTAATTGTTGTTTGTGATTATGAAACATCTTTGCAATAACATTTTTTATTTTAAAATGACAAATCATGAAATCAACATCAACATCAAAGAAAAACATGTTGAGAAAAACAATGGTGTTTAATTTTGTTGTAAAAATAAAAAAAAATTGTTACAAAAAAAGGATCAAACTTGAATTAGCAATATAAAAAACATTGAGAGAGGTCAGTGTAACAACTCTACCTGGTGCTTTTATTTTTCAGCAAATTATGATAATAGTGTTGGAGCTCGCATGAAAAGAAAGATTTTAAAAATAAAACTGGGTAGGAGAAAAAAGGCTTTGAAAATAAAACTATTGTACGAGAAGAAAAATTTTAAAGATAATTAATAGTAGTTTGTAGAGTTGAAAAATAAAAAAAATGTTAAAGCTCACATTAAGAACAATTTCCTTGTTCTATTGCATTTTTAATACAATAGAACAAGGAAATTGTTATAAAGGAGAAAAAAAATTTCGATTTAGCCCCTTCTATAAAGGAATTTAAGCAAGCACCTTATATTTGTGAATAAATAGTTTATAAGTTTGTTGGTTTTTTTATATAATAAAATATTTCTAATGATTTTTTACTTAATAGTATTTTGTATTTATTTTTTTAGATTTGATTGTGATACCAGAATGTATAAATATTTTTTTCCAGCTAAAAGAATGGATATAAAGGTAACATTGTTCTTTTTATGTTCTTTAAATAATTTGTGTGTAGTTTGTGTGTAATTTGTGTGTAATTTATGAATATTATGTGAATTAAGTTAAAGCTTTTTTTAAATTAAAAAATTTAAATCCTGATTATAATAAACATATTTCTGAATTATAGTTTCAGAATATTTGCCTCTTTTTTTTTTGGTATTCTTTTCATGATTGTCCAGTAAGATTTGATGGCTTGCTGTTTAGAACAGTTTGGTGGATTAGTGGATCTTTTGGATTCACATTGGCTCTTTTTTTTATCTAACAATAGCTAAATTTTAAACTCTTCAGTGTATGGAACTTGTGTTGATTTCAAGTTTTTTTGGTGTATGGTGTGTTGATGATTTTTCAAGTTTTTGGTGTATGGTGCTCATGTTATAATAGTTTGGTGTATGGTGCTAATGTTATAATAGATATTAGTTTAATAAAATAAATCACTAAATAAAATTAAATTTAAAAAATTTGAAATTTTTTTTAAAGTCAATATTTTCATATTTCAGAAATTAAAGATTATTTTATATTGATTATATTTTTTTATTATTAGTTTTTTTAAAACAAACTTTTTAATAAATGAATGCTGAAAACTTTAGTGATTTGATAAAGTTTTGTATATAAGTAACACTTGTTTGTATAAAAGTATAAAACTTTTTAACATTTTTTGTATAAAACTTGTTTAACATTTAAAAACATATTTAGTTAATGGATGCTGCTGCTCAAAAATTTGTTGGTGAAAAAGACTTTCGTAACTTTTGTAAAGTACTTTTTTTTTTGTTTTAGATTTTTAAAAATTTTAATTAAACAAATAATCTCTTTATAATGATTAAAAAAAATATTTTTTATATTTTTATAATAATTTTTTTTTTTAATTAAGTCTAGGTTTAAGCTAAAAATTGTCTCGTATATTCTGTATGTAAAATAATTTTACCTTGAATACAAACTTTACAAGTAAGTTTCATGTGGTGAAGATTTTGTTTAAAAAAAAAAGTATTACTATCATAGATGTAGAACATGCTGGGACCCCTCCATGAATAAGATGCTGGGGTTCAGCCCTACTCCTAAAAAGTTAACTAAATGCTCAATAAAGAATAATAATAACATTAAAACATTTTTTAAACACATATGTTTTTAATATTTTTTAAAATTACTTATAAATAATCAAGCACATTTAAAAGAGTTTATTTCCTAAATAAATATTAGAAAATAAGTTTTGAGTTAATTAAACATTGAATGTTTCGATTTGTTTGAAAATTTAAAAGCTTTTTTACTCTTTTATTAGATAAAAAACTAAATAAAAGGTTTGTTTTATGTAAAATAGGTGTTGGTTATATGTAAAGTAAAAAGGTTAGTAAAAGGTTATATGTAAAGTATGTAAAAAGAGTTTAGGTTGCTATAAAATGTTGTAACTGAAGGAAAAATTTCTTTTGAATTTTTTTGGGGTGCTGGCTCTTGTAATTTTGTATTGTGAAAAGCTTTTTCTATTAATTTTTCAGAGTAATTACATTCTTTCAGCCATAACTTTAGTTCATCCAAATATAGCTTTTTAATGGCCTAATCGGATGTAAAAACAGTTATTCTTTTTGCAAGGTTGTATGGAATGTTTTTTTTTTTATGTGATCAGGGTGATGGCTGTTGTAATTTAGGTAGTCGTGGGTGTTTGTTTCTTTAAAGAATATGTTGTTTGTGATATGTTAGTTGTTTTTAAGAATAACAGATATATCTACAAAATTAGTTATGTTATTTTTTCTTTTTCAATAAGTTTGATGCCATAGCCTATTGTAAAGCTGATTGAATCATTTATTCTACAAGTGATATTTTGAATTTATTTATATCTAAATATTTTGACCATTTGTTAAAACCATTGTCTACATATCTAATATATCTAGGTAAGATTTTTGGAAAAAATGTTTCTTCTAAGAATCCAATTGAAAGATATGCATTATCTAGTGCAAAATCTGTTCCCATGGCTATGACTTTAATTTGTTGAAATAATTGGTTATTAAAGAGAAAATTGTTTTTCAGAATAAAGGTTGCGATTCAATGATAAAATTGACTGTAAATCTTTCGGGTATAAGATCTTTATGTTTTTCGACCTAAAATTTCGAAGCATCTAGTGCTAGATTTTTACATAAAAGTTGTACAATTTAATAAATCATTTTTAAGAAATAGAAAATTTTTAGATTAGTTTTATTGTTATTTTGTTTGGCATACCCTTTATATATTGGTTTACATTATAGTTTATTATATTAACACTATAGTTTATTATATTACACAATATAGTTTATTGTACTACACACAACACAATATAGTTTATTATATTAACAAAATATAGTTTATTATATTAATAGTTTATTATATTAACACAGTCTTGGTTAAAAAGTGTAGATCTCTTCAAAATTTTTGAAGTTCCTTCAAATATGTCTCCTGTATTAATGTGTTTGTTAATTGGTTAGGCATGTATTAGCATCCAGTCAGTGACACTTTGTCAATTTTAGTAAATATATCAGCTGTGGTAGTTGTGAAGATAATCCGTCCAAATAGGTCACTGTCAATAGTTGTCAAGCTAAAATGCAGCTTTAGGCACTCCTTTATCCAGCAGGTGCTTGCTGGCATTTGTTTTATCAAAACTAAAGTACAGCAGCATGTAAAATTGCTCTTAGAAAAATTTGCCTTCATTTTGTCATTTGGGGAGTGAAGTTAAGGTCATATATAGACAGAAGTGCGTCTATGTTTTATGTTTTTCTTTGATAAAAGAATTTGTGAAAATAAAGAAAATTAATAAAGAAAATTTTAAGCAGGTTATTAAATTCAAAAAGTTTGTTTTCTTGCCATATCAAAAAAGTACACAGTTTATTCTCATTTATTGTTTTCTGATAACAATTTGATTACTATATAAAAGAAGGCAGAAATAACACTCAGAAGATGGGTCCAAATGGTTGTTTTGCAGTGACTGAAAATGGCATACAGGCTAGTGCCTGGCTCCAGTCCAGACCTTAACCCAATCAAAAATATGTGGGCATTTATGACAAAAAAGGTTGCTGAGCAGAACTCAACATCAGATAAGTCACTAATAAAAACAATAAAGCAAGTTTATTAAGCAGTGCTATAAAATAAAGGACAACATGTTAAATTTTAATTTTTGTATTTTTGCAGTAGAATGATTGACTAACTCATATATAATAATATTATTAGGTTGATAAATTTGTTACATTGTTAGCTCATGTCAAAGCACATAAAAATTAGAAAATTGAAATGACCAATACTGTATGCATACACAAATACATACACATTATCATGAGTCATTCCATGCCAACTAGACCAAGATCCAACATGGACCCCTTCAGATTTTGATGAAACTTAGTGGGTTGGTTAATATCAATAAGAAAAGAAATTCCTGAAATTTCAGCATAAAATCCTTTGTGGTTCATGAGGTATGGTCATTTGAAATTTCTAATTTTTCTAAAAACAAAAACTTCAGTAGCAAAAACATGTTTTGTTTATACTTTTAAGCTTTATATTTTAAAAACAAAATTTCAGAAAACCTTCTAGTTTTTTTTTTATTGTATACAACTCTAGACTTACTTTAATAAAACTTTGACATTAAATTCTTGAATATCACATTTTTTCCATAATGGCTACCTAAAAAACTGATAAAATTGTTTGCAAGTATAAAAAGTTGATTTTTGAAGAGTCAATATACAATAAAGTGTCCCAAAAAAAAAAAAAAAAAAAAAAAAAAAGATTGTCTACTGATTAAATAAATTACTGACTAAATAAGTCCTAAAAAATTTAGGATTTATTTAGGTCATAAAAGGTTTTATTTTGACAAGAAGTGCTAGATGTAAAATCTGAGTTTTACTGTTTTAATGTTGAGCTGTGTCAGGTCAGGAGTATGGTCTTCATGATCATCCTGCTACTGGTAACATGTAACCCAGTGCAACCTGTTCCATGTTCTGCTGCCTTGCAGGATTTGCTTTCTAAGCAAAGGCTGGAAGGAGTGTGCTTCCTGTCATCAGTACTATCTTATATCAGTCATGCCTATGATAATTTTTTTTTTAAATATATATATATATATATAGTTGGAGGTGCCTTAGTTACTGTATTAGCTCACCTGTAATCTACTTTATATGTATGTTTGTGTTCTGTCTGAACCTCTGGTGCAGTGTTCGCTCAACCATAAGTTACTTTATGTTTTTTATGTATGTTTGTGTTCTGTCTGAACCTCTGGCGCGGTGTTCGCTCACCCGTAAGTTACTTTATGTTTTTTATATATGTTTGTGTTCTGTCTGAACCTCTGGCGCGGTGTTGACTCACCCGTAAGTTGATTTATGTTTGTTTGTGTTCTGTTTATTTTCTGATGCAGCGTGAGCTCAGTAACTAGCTACCTACTCCAACTACAAAACCTACACTCACCTTAGACTCCTGTATTTTGTTAGATGCAGTGTTTTTCCTAATGCACTTCCAAAATGTCATACCTGGTTTTCTCAAAGTACTGTTGCGAGAAGTAACTCCTTTTAACTACTCCAGGTCAGGATAATCAAGATCAATCTTGCTACTGGTATCACGTAACCCAGTACCACCTGCCACAAGCCCTGCTGCCTTGCAGAGTGTGCTCTTCTTAGGCAAAGGTTAGGAGAAATAAACACCGACTAAAAATTCCCCTGCCTTGGGCTCTTGGTTGAGTAAAGGCTAGAGATGGTGTCTCAATAAAAACACTCATCTTGAGCAGATGTTAGCTGCATCCAGCTACTGTCTTGTAGAAGGCCTCCTAGGCAAAGACTTTAGGGGTAAGCAGAAAAATTCTGCTAACCAGCCTCGAACCCCTTCTTCATCTATCAGGCTGGCGTAGATGTAACCTGTGTAACATTGTTTCCTGCCTAGGATGATGAATGCTGGATCTCCTTGACTCTACTCATAGAATTTTGTTTATGCCTCCTTGATAATGGCTATGCAACTCTTTCTGTTATCTCCATATGAAGGTATAGCTCAAAAACTCAGTTTAATGGTTCTGAGGCCGGCTGGTAGTAAGGTTTCCCGAACTCTGTGGTAGCTCTCAGAGAGGCTGATTCCATCAACAGCTGCAAAATATCAGAGTATTAACAGTGCCATGTAGTGCATGGATGGTGTCCCTGTTAATGCTTTTGGTGTGCATTGTCAAGGCCACATAAGGAGCCCTATGTCACGGCTTAGGGTTAATTAACAGGACTGAGACAACGGCATAGCTCATTGATTAGGAGGCTGTGCTCTATCTATGAATGAGTCAAGTTCTCATTGAGCCCAAATCATGACCAAAGTAACCAAAAATTTTAAACCTAAAAAACCATCCCCACAATCTAAATGTTTTAATATATCTTTTACAAATATTTGCGGTCTGAAAAGCAACTTTCCTCTAGTTGAGTCTTACCTCTTGCAAAATTCACCAGACTTGCTTGCACTCAGTGAAACAAATTTAAATTCTGCAATTCCTTCTTCAGATGTCAGTGTTGGTGGGTACTATCCTTTGATTCGTAAAGACTCCAATAGTCACATGCTAGGTTTAGGGGTATACATACTCATTAATTCCCCTATTTGTTGTGAAATCAGGTTCGAATCCTTTGACCATTCTTTTATGTGCTTTCGCCTAGCACCTCTTCACTCTATCACCTTTCTCTTTGTTCTTTATCGTTCTCCTTCTTCCCATGATTGCACTCTTTTAGATGTTATCTCTGATCAAATTGACCATGCCCTCTCTCTTTACCCCTCTGCCAATATTGTTGTTG